ACCTTTTCTAAAATGGGGGGGGGGGTTGGGAGAGGAAGGGTAACCCGAGTCGGTTTGGCGTCGTGGTTAAGTGCGGGGACTCTAACCTGGGAGAACTGGGTTTGATTCTCCACACCTCCACTTGCAGCTTCTGGATGACCTTGGGCCAGTCACAAGTTCTTTCAGAGCTGTCCTTGAAAGAGAGTTGTTTTTGTCAGAGCTCTCTCAGCCCAAACCTCCCTCACGGGGTGTCTGTTGTGGGGAGGGGAAGGGAAAGGAGGTTGTCAGCCGCTCTGAGACTCCTTCGGGTAGTGAAGGGCCATGGGGTAGAAATCCAATCTCTTCTTCTTCTTCGGCTGCTCTTGGTCGCCTTTGCATTTAGTTCCATTACAGGCAGGTCCGATAAGAGCCCACTGTAATGAGTAGTGTGTGGTGAGGTGGTCTCAAACGGTCCACGCTCAACCTCCGTCACCCCAACACGAATTGTTGGCATCCACTTAGGCAAGAGAACTTGGGGGAAATGGGATTTGGGCGGGGGGATCATTAACCCTGCTGACCCCCCTCCCCCCCGACAGTCAGTTTCTGCCCCCTCTGCACGATACTTCTCACCACGCAGTCCACCCCGGTGCCTCCCAGGGTTTGTGCAACGCCCCTCTTCCAGTGGTGGGTCACACCATACTGCGACAGGCAGACACAGCCAGATGTGTCTCTCTGCTTGCTCCTGCAGGCAGGCCTGTGTTTAAAACCCCGGAGAGTGTCTACGTCTTGAACGTTCACTTGGTGTCGTGGTTAAGTGCGCGGACTCTAATCTGGGAGAACCGGGTTTGATTTCCCACTCCTCCACTTGCGCCTGCTGGAGTGACCTCGGGACAGTCACAAGTTCTCTCAGAGCTGTTCTTGAAAAAGAGCCGTTTCTGTCAGAGTGAAGGGCGGCAGGGTATGCATCCAATCTCCTCCTCCTCCTTTGGGGCTGGACATTTTGGTGTGGTGGCAGCAGAGCCCCCCTCCTGCTGCTCCCTGGGCCCCGTGCGTCACCCACCCACCCACCCACCCCGGAAAACCCCCACACAGGGCAGATGGACTCTCGTAAGATTCTGAACTTTTTATTTTCTGGCATGAAAAGTACAAATAATTAAACAATTCCATGTAAAAGATTCATACAGCCGCCGTGCCTGAAATCCCAGTAATAAATAGTCTAAACTAAATGCAAAGTGTCATTTTTCTTCTTATTTTTTACAGCAGTTTTTAAACCCTTCCGGTATCAACTGACTCACGATTATTTTTTTTGTTTTTTGTTCTTCGACATTGTTTTTAAAAACTTCCCCAATAAATAACAGTGTGAAGCTGAAAGGGGCTCGGGGAGCCAGGCACGCACCCCGCCCCACCCCCGGCCTGTCGTCGTCTCCCGTGAGCCCTACCGTACCCCCCCTGTGACTCAGAGACACTGGTGGGGAGCGGGGGTGGGGGGGCAGGTAGGAAATTATTTGGCTCTCCCCATCGTGTCGGATGGGCACCTCTTAGACCCTCTGCTCCCTTCAGTGTTGCACCCGGACCCATCCCTGGAAGTTCCCTCGCAAGCGGAAAGGCGAGCTTCCAAGGCCCTTCACAGCACTCGCCCTTCGGCGCCTGCCTCCCTCACCAGGCAAAATCCTCTCTCTCCTCCCCCACCCCCCACCCCGATCCAGTTTCTAATCAATCCACTTCACCTTTTTTTGTTTTTAGTAAACTCAAACTGGCACTTATTGCTGTTTGAAAAAATAGTCAAGAAGAGGCTTAGAATTGCTGTGGCTGTTCTGAAAAAAACAACGAGCCACAACGGAAACAACTTTTTTTTTTTGTTTGCCACGAAAATGCCCTTGTTGAGATGCGGGGTAGGGAGTCAAAAATTAAGGGGGGGAGGGTTTGTTTCTGAGCAGGCAGCCACAAGGCAGCTGGGCCACAGGGCTGGAACTGGAAGCGGCGCGCGCCACAGTGACGCCCCCCCCCCCAACCGCGCTGCAGCTGGAGTCGCGGGCCCTGATTCCGGGAGAGGCCTTTCTTTGGGCACGGGAAGCAGAGCTGGAAGCCGTCTGGGGGACGCCATGAGAGACGGGGACTCCGCGGGCTCCCCGTTTCTGCGGATGTCCTCCCCACCTCATCTTGCAGGCTTGAGTTTGTTTGGCACTAACGAAAGAGGTGTTCACGTGAATTTGGTGTCTTCTGGATTTTGTGGGTGGGCCAGTGTGGGCGTTCGCGACTTCCCCTGCTCCTGGGGGCGGCGGCTTGAGACCTTGTGTCTGTTTTGGTGCAGCTGGAAAGTTAGCCAGGTTACGGGGTGGTGGTGGTTTGTGTGCTTAGCAGCCTGCTGGACTGAGTTAGGAAAGGCTTCCATTTCCTTCAGCGTCTGTAACCCTCCTCACCTCCCTTCCACGCTCCCAGGCAGGTGAAGGGCAGCGTCGGCCACGCCGAGGCCATGCCCCTGCGCAAGCAGGGTGGGCAAGATGGCAAAGCGGGCAGGGGCCGTCCGAGAGGATTCCTGGCTGTGTCCCCGCACAGCCTCAGTGGCTCGGGGGGGGGGGGCATCCCAGCGGGCAGGACAGCTGTCGCAGGAGCCGGGAAATCCTGGGTGAGCCCAGGTGAGGCACCTGCGGGGATGCCTGCCTAGCCTCTCGGTGGTCCTGTTGGCACCCAAAGAGTTTGAACACGGGGATAATCACTCCCGTGGGCTTGGAGCCCAGGAGGAGGAGAACGGCCGCCTTGGCACAGAAGACGGGAGTGTCACTCCCCTGACCCCCCTCCTGCGGAAGACCTCCCCCCCCCCTCCTCAGAGGAGGCCCACCCACGGGCCCAGGGCTTTTGCCCTCCAGCCGCTGTCTGGACACACCACGGCTACGCTCAGTCAGGGGACCACTTTCTTTTCAGCTGCTTTTATTTCTGCTTAAAACTCCTAACGGTTCTATTGCCAATGTTCTCCTGAGGGCTTGAACTTTCGGCTGGAGACTCTCGCAGCCCTCAAAGTCCCAGCTCCCACTTCCCCAAAGTCACCACCTAATGCCCAGTTTTGTTCCAGGTGTCATTTGACCGGTCAGGAGTAGTTGCTGTACTCATTCCAAAGAGCCGGAGCGGTTCTTTCGGGCCCACGGGACCATCTTGGCCCAGGGC